TGTGCTGTTGTTTGCCCCCTGCTTGAAAAAAAAAAAAAACAGCTGCGGTACCAACGGCAGCAAACGCAACGATGGAAGCGTGTGGCTATAATCGATGGCGATGCAGCAGCATGCAGCGTGTATGTGCTGTGGCGGCGTGGGCGTGGCGCGGACGCGGTGGTGCTGGATGGAGTTCGATGTTGTGACGTGGTGAGTGATGTGTGCGTGGTGGTGATGATGGGCGTGTTGTGTTGTTCTGCTTCCGCCACGAGAACACAAACAACGCGTCTGGCAACGACAATTTATCGATGATTTACATAAACATCCAAGGGGCGACACAACAGAGCTCGTGCTTCACTTTATGCTGTCGCAATCGAGTCGTGCTGTGTGTGTGTGTGTGTGTGTGTGTGTGTGTGTGTGTGTGTGTGTGTGTGTGTGTGTGTGTGTGTGTGTGTGTGTGTGTGTGTGTGTGTGTGTGTGTGTGTGTGTGCGTGTGTGTGTGTGTGTTGTGTGTGTGTGTGTGTGTGTGTGTGTGCGTGTGTGTGGTCGTGGGTGTAAAACACCATTGTGTGCGTCTGCACACTGCAACAAGCACACACACTGCAACACGCACACACATGCAATACGCACACACACACACACACGCACGCTCTGCTCTCTCACACTCATCAAACCACACTGTCACCCGCAAAGCTACAACGATCAGGGCCTCTTGTCCTTTGCCTCGATCACACTCTCCTGCCCGTGCTGTTGCTCCTCCGTTTGTTCTGGTTCTTCGTGTGCTTGTGCCTGAGCACTCGCGTCGTGCGTGGTGGCCTCCGCCTTCTTCTTTGCCTGGTGCTTTGCCTTCTTCCTGCGGGGTTTGCTGCTTGCGCTGCCGGCGCCAGGCGTGCAGTCCAGCGTCTCCACAGCAAACACATCCGCGTGCTCCTCCCAGAACGCAGGCCCAATCATATCTGTGGTTCATGTGTGTGTGTGTGTGTGGTTGTGGTTGTGCGCGTGTGTGTGTACGTATGTGTGAGGGACACAGATGTGCATCACACCCAAAGGGATTGAACGGTGTTCACGTATGCGACAACAAGAGCAATAAAGCTACCCCTCCCCAGAACACGCACACACACACACAGACACACACACACACACACACACACACGCACACACGCACACACACACACACACGCACACGCACACGCACACACACACACGTGTACATGCGCACCCTGAGCTGTGACGACGGGCTGGCGGCGGCGGCGGGTGGAGGTGACCGTCTTTGTTGTTCCGTCTGGCATCGTGCGCTGGCCCGTCACTTCCTCCTCCATATCCGCCCACAGGATCACGCTCCCTTTTCGAAACATGGCGGGCTCGTTGTTGTAGTTGACGCCGCACTCACTGAACATAATCTCATTCTTGTCTGCAGAAAACGTCCCCTGAGTAGGCGCGCGTGCGTGAGTGAGTGAGTGAGCGTGTGTGAGTGAGTGAGTGAGTGAGTGAGTGGGCGCGAAGAAGCTGCATGGTGATGTTACAAGTCACCATTTGCAGCAAGCGCAACAACGCAACAATGCACGCATATGCGTCGCACCCGTAGTCTGCTCTCTGCCTCCTGCTCTGTCAGCCCTTTCTTCAGCACAAGCAACCAGAACGCCGTGTTGTACAGGTTATTGATGTGGCCTGCATGAGACACAGAGAAAAAATTCATTGTAGGGCGACACGAACCCCGTGTGAGACCAGGGAAGGTTGACGTGAAAAGGGCAGGCATAAAGACGGTAGAAGGGGGTTAAGCACGCATCCAAGTACACACCCACACACTGGCATACAACACACACACACACACACACACACACACACACACACACACACACACACACACACACACACACACACACACGCACGCACACACACACACACGCACACACACACACACACGCACACACTGACATACAAAACACACACCCACACACTGACATACAAAACACACACCCACACACGCACACACTGACACACAAAACACAATACACACATGCACACACAACGCGCACGCATGCTCTTCTCCCCGCCTCTCCCTTCCACAACAGCCGCCACCACCACCAGCAACAACGGACAATCTGCTTGGCGCCAGCTCAGGTAGTCCTTTAAGTTCTGCAAGGTCGGATAGCAGACGACGCGCGCATCAAAGTGGGGGCACGCCTGTAGCTCGATGGGCCGCCCTTCCTTGTCACGCATGAATCGTGACCATCGCATCACATATGTGCTGCTGAACAGCGACACTATCGTGGACATGACCTTGCTGCAATCATCACGCGGAGGCAGGAAGGGCAGCAACAACACCGTTAGCATGCACGCATGGCAACGTGCAAGGCAGAACAGCAACGTCCACGCAATGTGAAGCCAAACACACACACACTCACGCACACATATACACACGCACGCACACGCACGCACACGCACGCACACCTTTTTCTTCGCTTGAACAGATTGCTCCTGCGGTCCAGCACAAACCTAATGGATGGACAACGGCAAATGAGGCAGGCGGCAGCAGCAACAACACCAGCGCACGGGCATACATACAACCAGGTACGTGTGTGTGTGTGGGTAGGTGTTGAAGCTTGCATTGGTACTGCACTGCTGTGCATGGCGTTCCCAATTCATACACACTCATAACTTCACAGACACACACACACACACACACACACACACACACACACACACACACACACACACACACACACACACACACACACACACACGCACATACCACAAAACACACAGACCTGTACTCCACACAAGCACGAAGTGCAACGTACGACATCTCGTCGGATTCGCCATAAGCCAGGACAATGTCTGGAAACGCCAGCATGCATTCCCGTGCAGCCTCGTTCATCAATTCAAGCGCTCGAGCGTCATTTGGCTTCTCAAACTCATGCAGTGCAGAGAACCTGTATCACCCACACAGTGATTCGTCGTGAGTGGCAGGCCACCAGCAAACACACAAGCTCAGCAAACACATCCCAAAGCAGTTCCCCGTATGACCAGCCATTGTACCACTTACCTTCCACCCGCTTCATCTCCCCTTCCCCCTCCCCCCTCCAAATCCCTGTAAACCAACCAACCTGTGGAAGCCTCTGCCGTCCAACCGCACCACCATCCACGTGTTTGGCAGCGCCGTCTCGTGATGCTCAAACAGCTTCACATATTCAAACCGGCTCTTCGCCATCGTCGTTTGCGCGATAACACTTTGGCGGTCTCTGTGTGTCGTGTCGTGGGTGGATATGGAAAAGACGGACACGATGACTGGCTGGTTGGCTGGTGGGGGAGTAGAGCCGATCCAGCCAGCCAGTCGAGCAAACCAGAACGGGCGTCAAGGCATGGATACCACATCCCCCCCGCTCCAACACCGCCTCATGTCGTGTTGTGGTGTGTACATACCATAACACACACACACACACACACACGAGCTACGATCACAACAACATCCACATCGATGGTGCTGCAAACTGTGTGACACCAGCAGCATCAGCACCACTGCACGCACAATATGGACGCCGTGTGCAAGCTTCTGCCGGACGCCGTCTTGAAGCTGCACGTTGGCTCTGGGGAAGAAGCACAAGACGCCACCACCTTTCCTCGTATCCAACTTCATCATGGCGTCATCTCCTTCGCAGACATATCCGGTGAGTGAGTGAGTGTGTGTGCGTATATGCGTATATTTGTGCGTGTGTGTGTGTGTTTGTGCGTGTGTCTGTGCGTGTGTCTGTGTGCGTGTGCGTGTGCACTTTGTTGCTTCTGCTGCTCACATCATTGCCTCTTCGCACTTGGACTTCTTGTTCTTCGCAACCTCGAATGCCCCTAATTGTGCACGCAACACCACACCCACCACTCAACCCAGGCTTTACATCAATGTGCGAGAAAGCAGCAGCAGAAGGAAGCATAGGCGTCGACAAGCTCAGCAGAACCCTCAACTCAACTCTCGAGGGCGTCGTCCAAGGTAAGTGACACAAACACAGACAGACACACAGACACACAAAAATACATACAGACACACACAGACAGACATGTAAACATACATACAGACACACACACACACACAGACACACACAGACACACACACAGACACACACACACACACACACACACACACACACACACACACACACACAAACTGAAACAACCACTCATTCGCGACGCTCCCCCCCCCCCCACACACACACACATATCACAATACAGAGTTGCTGTTGTCTGGCGCAGATATCCTGCACTTTGCTGGAGACGCCATCCTTGCGCTGTGGGAGTGCGACAACATTGGCATCGACAACACGCTGCCGTGTGCCCTGGAGGCGTGCAAGCGCATCCAGGCCTGTCTGCGCCGGCAGTCCGAGAAGGCCAACGTCCCCCTGCACATCAAGTTGGGCGTGTCGTTTGGCGAAATCAACCTCGTGCACATGGAGAGCGGCCCGGAGCGCCAGTTCTTCGCCATCGGGCCCGCCGTCGAACGCGTCGCGAATGCACAGAACGTGGCTGCCCGCGGCGACACCATCATGTGCAACCACTGCGTGGAGGTCGTGGCCCACCGGTTCCCCATGGAGATGCTGCCCAACGGTTATGGACGCTTGTTCGATCCAAACGCCACATTACCAGCGCGTGGTCGTGCCCCATGGGTACGCATAGTTGAGTGGTGTGTGTGTGTGTGTGTGTGTGCATGTGTGTGTGTGCATGTGTGTGCATGTGTGTACTTGAGTCAGGTTCGTGTATTGAAAGCTGAAACGTGCGCGCTCAAACGATTGGCTTGTTGGTTGCGCTTGTGTTGGTTACGTGTGCATTCCTCTTGTTGTGTGTCCCTTTGCTGGTCCATTTTGCCACCTGCCTCATGGCGCTCTCATCCCGCCTTCCATACACACACACACACACATCTCCTGGTGTGTTGATTGTTCCTCCGTGTCACAGCGGCGGATGCTGGGCCTCCTGCGACGCTCCAAGAAGACGGCAAGCGGCAGTCCCGCAACCAACCACCAGCATAGCGACCAGCAACAGGGGGTGAGAACGGGCGCCACAGTGCTACTGCTCGATCATGTCTCACCTCGTGCTTACACGCACACATGTCACGCACACATGCATGATACACAAACACACACACATAAATGACACGCACACACGCATACACAATCTCTCTCGCTCTCCCACTCTTATGTCCACACACACGCAAACACACACACACACACTCACGCACACACTCACACACGCACACTCACGCACACACTCACGCACACACACTCACACGTAAACACACACCACAAACACAAACACACACATGCACACACTCACATCAGGTGCACCGGGCAATGTGCACCGCAAGCAGCGAGTACAACTGGCCGGCATTACGGGCATATGTGCCCCGCAATATTCTGCTGCGCATGCACGACACGACTGACCTGCGCTGGCTGGCTGAGATCCGCGCCATCACCACCGCGTTCGTCAAGGTGTCCCTGCCACAGGACATCAGCGACAGCATCACGCACACGGCGGCGGCCCTCCAGCGCGCGTTTGACGTCATCTCGCCCTGCGCCCGGCGGATGGGCGGTACCGTGGCAAAGGTGCTGGCCTTCGATAAGGGATACACCTTCATGGTCGTGTTCGGTCTCCCCGGGCAGAAGCTGGAGCACGGCGGCAAGCACGCCCTCCTCGCCGCCCGCACCTTCCACGCCGGCGTGTGCGCAGCGCTGCCGTCAGCGCAGGTCGGCATTGGCGTGGCCACGGGGCCCGTGTACTGCGGGGTGGTTGGCCATCCACTGCGCCACGAGTACACCATCATTGGCGACAGCGTGAACGTGTCCGCCCGCCTCATGGTCGCCTTCCCAAACGCCGTCGTGTGTGACGAAGTGACGCGTGCCCAGGCGCTCGCCCTGCCCCTGAAGCCGCTGCCACACCTCGAGCTGCGCGGGAAGACAAACGCGGGGGAGTTCTTCATGCTGCCAGTGGTGGATGGGACGCCTGACACCGGCACTGACGACGACGGGGTGGATGTTGTCGAGACGACCGAAAGCCATCCTCAACAGCAACACGCCGAAGAGGTGGATGAGGCCAAAGGCGGCGCCCTCAAGCCATCGCACGGCGTGGCGGCAGAGGCAGATGCCCACCCCGATGGTCTCGATGCTGATGACGGTGGTGGTGATGATGACAACGCAACACACAGCACCTCCAGTGCCAACCGAGCGACGAGCACATCCAGAGCGACAGCGAATGACACGACCGCCGCCACAGCTAACGCCGCAAACACCGCCGCGAGTGGTAGCGAGAACGATGGAGACAGCAGCCCGCGTGCGAGCCTGATTGGGCGCGCGACGCAACTTCGACGCTTCACGCAGCTGATCACAGAGGCAGGGATGGGCAGCACACGCACATGCACGCGCGTGTACCACGTGAGCGGGGAGACGGGCATGGGCAAGACACGCCTGCTGGCTGCGATGAAGGGCGTGTGCCAGCAGCGAGGCATCCCTTCCCTCGCAGGTGCCGCCGAGCGGATGGACAGCACCACCCCGCTTGCCGTCGTGCGTCAGCTGCTGCTGCAGGGACTGACGACAAAGGCAGGAAGCAGCGCAACGCACCAGCGGCTTCGAGCCCTCCGCTCTGTCCTCGCCCGCGTGAGCGCATCGGATACCGATGTGACAACGCCCCACGTTGCCGCCTTCCTACGCTTGGACGACGGGTCCTTGCATCACGGCGCTGGTGCGGGCATGCGTGTGCACGGCAGGGCCACTGCCACTGGTGGACGCAGCACCACATCGCGCCTCCCTGGCAGCCGCTTCCTTGCCATGCAGCAGCAGCAGCAACGCCACCACCACCACCACCGCCACCAGCAGCACCACAGTCGCCACGAACACAGCAGCGCACGCGGGGCCGTTGGCGGCGTTCCACGGCAACTGAGCGCAAGGACGCTGCGACCGCTGCTGCGAGACGTGTTGGCGGTATTGACTCAGAATGCAGTTGTGTTTGTGGACGATGTGCAGTGGTGTGACGCCGCATCGTGGCAGCTGCTCTCAACCCTGGTTATGCTCCACCACCAACACTCTGACAGCGACAAGGGCGATTATGATGATGATGACGACGACGACGACGATGACGATGACGATGATGATGGTGGTGGTGGCGGTGAAAAGAATCATGTCGGGGATCATGATGTTGACGCTGGAGGTGTGAATTCAGCAGCTCGGCGCCGCCACACGAACAAAGCACTGGCGTCGTCAGAAAACAATGACCGGGGTGGCTCGATCACCGGCTGCACGGGGCCGCTGCTGCTCGTGCTGGCGGGTCGCCCTCTCTCCACACCGTCGCTCGCCCCGGCTGCTGCAGGGCTGCCACAGCAAACAGCAACAGAACAATCAACAACCCCAACAGCCACACAGACAGCAGCATCGGGGAAGCGGGATGGTCGCCGTCCGAGTGGTGAAAGTGTATTCAACGCCACACCCGAGCTGCTGCAGTCACCGGCCACCGTCAGTGAAGCCTTGGCGCCACTGTCGAACGAGGAGGTCAAGCAGCTGGCAGCGGCAAAGCTGAAGGTCGATGTGGTTCCAGACCGTCTGGGCAGGATGCTGCATGCCAGGAGTCAGGGCAACCCGCTGTACTGCGAGCAACTGATCATGTCACTCGTGGAGCACGGGGTGCTGGTGGCGACGGGGGAGGGTGCTGCTGCGTGGATGCACACCAACGGCAGCAGTAACAACGGGTTACCGCCAGCAGGAGCGCCAGACATGGGGGCGCTGTCTCCAAGCATCAGCTCCCTCTCCCTTTCCGGTGTTGCGGGTGAAGTGGGTCGCGCGGCATCCGTGCACATGCTGGACCAAGTTCCCGTCCCAAATACCCTGCACGACATTCTCCTGCACCGCTTCGATCAGCTCTCCGCCACGACGCTGCTCGTGCTCAAGTGCGCCGCCGTTGTCGGCATGGACTTCCACGTTCGCGACCTGTCTTTCTTCACGGACATCACGGGGGTGCGCCACACCATCGTGCGCAACCTGCGTGAGCTCGACAAGGCCGAGATGATCGAGTTTGTGCCCTCCGCTGCCGGAGACCTCCCGCGCTGCCGGTTCCGCCAGGAAGTTGTCCGCAGCGCCGCCTACGACCTGTGGCCGCCGTCAACGCGCGTCAACTTGCACGCCAGGTACGCTGCTGCCCTGGAGAACTGGGCACACGTGCAGGAGCAGCAACAGCAGCAGCATCTCGAGGAAGGGCACGGGCGATACAGTCGCGTGAGTGGCGGAAATGTCATGGTCACCAGCAGCGGCGGCAGCCGAAGAGACAGTCGTTCCCAACGCCAGCAGGACCACGAGTACAGGCGCGCGTCTGCCCGCCACAGCCACGGGCGCCTCAGCGTACAGCTGCTGGTGCCGCCGTCGCTCTCACAGGACGCGTTTGCAGCGGAGGAGCGCCTGCTCGACCCAATGGTGATGGCGGACCACTGGCTGCGGGGGGAGCGAGCCGACAAGGCATGCTCCTACCTCGTGACAGCTGCACGCGACAATCTTGCGGACGGCGAAGTCGGTTCCGCCCTCTCGCTGCTGTTGCGCGCGCAACGGCTGCAGGCGTCAAACACGTTGCCGAAGCTCGCGCGCTTGCGCGTTCTCACGCTGCTGGCAGAGACATTCAGCACGCTGGAGCAGCACAAGCATTGCGTCCGCGCGTGTCTTGATGCGTTGCGACTGCTGGGCGTGCACGTCCCGCGTCGCTGGCCGGTATTGTGGTCTGTGCAGCTGCACATGTGGAATCGAACAGGCCGGCGCAATCACCGCCCACGCACGCACAGCCCCGCTGGGACACGCAACAACAGCAGTCGTGGTGGGCATGTGGCGAGCGGAGCAAATGCCCGTGATGCTGACGCGGGTGGCCCTGCAGATGGCGAGGCTCAGGGTGATGGCAGCGGTGATCGACACAGGGTCAGCGTTGCAGGTGTCAGCGTTGCAGGTGTCAGCGTTGTTGGCCGCAGGTCGGATGGCAGTGGTGTCGGTGCATATGCAACCCAGCAGAGGCCTGCGGGCGAAGAGAAGCGCCGCAGACAAATCCTGAGAAGAGCGCCAGCAATGAAAGGGAAGCAGGGGCCAACGGGGGTGAGCGGATACAACAGCCATGGTCGTGCTCGTGTTGAGGTGCATGACATTCACCATCCAGTCATGCCCAACAGCAGCGGGCACGAGGGTGCTGGGTTGCGCGCGGGTGTCGGCGCGGTTGAGGCAGCGGCATCCCAGCCCTCGCGGCCGCCAACAACGCGAACAGCAGCAACGACAGCAGGGACATCAGCGGTGGGGAAGACGACGGGAAAACCAAAGGTTGTGGTGAGCAGAGGTGGAAGGGCGACGAAGCTCACTGGCACCAGCAGCAATGGAACAGGTGACACCACAGCAGGTTCTGGCAGTGCCGAAAATGGTGACGACAACGATGATGGCTTTGGTGGCGACAGCGAGGAAGAGACGTTGAAACAAGGCTGGGCAGATATGGCTGCCGGTGCTTTATCGCACTTGACAACTGCGTACCAGGCATTGGGCAACACGCAGGCAGCGGCGTGTGCGGCGTTTGTTCTGGTCCGCGTGGTGCAGAGACATCAGCAGCCGCGGCCGCTGTTTGATGAGGCACTCACGTTCCTGCTGCTCGTTGGCCAACACGCAAGACAGCGCGCGCTCCTGGCGTGGTGCAACCGTGCACTGACCACAACGCTGGCGTTTCCAGCCACACCGGAGCAGCTGTACTTGCTGGACACACACACGCTCGTGTCGTTTTCGCGCGGGTGTTTGCGGCACGTGCTCAACAGCACGCGTCGCGCCTCAGACATCTGCACGCACTTTGGCCTGAGCGGGCACGCGGCAACGGTGCTGCTGTGGCGAATGTTGGCAGCGTTGTACCTGCTCGATGCCGACGTGCTGTCCACCTCCCACCGTGTGTGTGTGCGCATCACGCTGGGGCGGCAGCACACCGCGAGCACACAGGCGATGCAGTTTATGGGCGGGCGAAGGCGAAGCAGAGGGTACAGCACAGACAGCAACAGCAGCATCGGCACCCCCGTCTATCCAACAGGCGCGTCTGACGCACGTATGAGCGAGCAGTGGCCGCGAAAGTCCATCACAACAGCCGTCCCACCACAACCACAAACAGCAGCAGCTGCTGTGGTCGCGGGCGGTGGCGGTGGTGGTAAACATCCACCCATCTTACTTGCGGTGCCACCAGCATCCTCCCAGTCCAGGTCATCCCACCGCAGTGTTGACGATGACGGCTGCGATGACAGGCCACATCATCGTTGTGATCATGATCTCAGTGGCGACAGCTCTGGCGAGTCTGTGCATGATGCCACTGTAGTTGAGATCCAGCACCATTCGAGCGACGTGAACGGCAATCATGAAGAGGAAGTGACACCGCCACCGCCGGCGCAGCCACGTCCGAGCTGGCGCCGGCCAAGCCGTCCGTCCATCTTCAGCATCCGCAGCGCCGCCCATGTGCCGAGTAGGAGCCGAACCAGTGTTGACACAGCCACAGCGTCGCAGCAGCAGCAGCAAGGGCGAGGTAGTTTGGTGCATCCTGACAGCGACGCACCCCAACCACACGGTAGCGGAATGGCGACGCTGGGTGTTAGCGACACGGACAATGACGACCAGGGTGGCAGTGACGATGGTGATGGTATTCGCGGTGGTCGTAGCAACGGCAGCGTTGCTGATTTCACGACGGCGTCGCCTGCGCGGCGACGGCGACGAAGAGGGAGCTCCATTCTCACAGACTTCAGCAGCGCGAACGGCATCAGCGCGCCGGCATCGTTCACCTCCAACAACTGCGGTGATGCGGATGATGCAGTGATGGTGCACGGTGGTTTGAGCATGAGTCAGACACCGCCAGATGTGCAGGCGACAGCCTGCATTGCGATTGCACTCAACTGTGTGTTCTGCCGTGCAGGTCATTTTGCGCCATCATCCGCAGTTCCGTGTGATGCTGGCCTGTGGCCCAGTGGCGACGATGTGCACCTGTGGACAGACATTGCAGCACTCGCAACTGACATGACTGGTGCTGTTGCTCCCGACCTTCAAGCCTGTCTGCTCGCGATCCTCGCAGTGCGGTGTGTTGTGTGTTGTGTTTGTAATGTTGTGATGTGTCATGTTGTGTTGTGATATGTTGTGTCTTGTTGTGTTGTGTTGTGTTGTATTCATGCGCTGTCATGTCACTTGTTCTAAGGCATCCCTCGCCGTTCTCAACCCGCAGTCACTCTTGCCACCACCACCACCACCACCACCACCACCACCACCACCACCACCACCACCACCACCTTGTCCACCTTCTCTTCCTCCTGTCACCCTCCACTGCCGCCATGGCATGATGCTGATGCAGGGCTGCGCTGCAAGGGCAGCAGCATCTCGTTGAACGCCACTTGGCTCTGGTGGACATCGATGCTCTCGTCCACCCATGCAGCGCCATGGATGCCTTGAGCGTGAGCCTGTGCTGTTTTGCTGCCACCATCGCATTGCTGCACTGGAACGACAAGGAGAGCAACACGCTGTTCGCGCGGTGGTGTGGTGCGCTCGCATCCATCCATCGCACCCACCCCGTCCACACGCCGCGTCTTCATTTCATGGCAGCACTCGTCCTCTTCAAGCGGCGCCTTCACAGACGCGCACTCGCCATGTTCCGCAAGTGAGTGAGTGAGTGAGTGAGTGAGTGAGTGAGTGAGTGAGTGAGTGAGTGAGTGAGTGAGTGAGTGAGTGAGTGAGTGAGTGTATGTGAGTATGTATGTGTACGTGTATGTGTACGTGTGTGTACGTGTGTGTGTGTGTGTGTGTGAGAGTGCATATGGTGAGGTACCTGCACTCACTTCCATCCACCTGTCCCAAACTGCCAACTGCCTCTCTGCACCCGGCGCAGGGCTGTGAAGAGCGCAGAGCGCTATGGCGTCGCGTACGATGCAGTGTGGATCTCCACCACAGCTGCCCGCTTGTTCCCAAAGTTCAAGGAGTGGCAGCATGGCGTTGATGAAGTTCGTGTCGACATGCCCGATGTCGCGTCCATCGTCCTCCGCCCACAGCACGGGCAGCAAGAGGGGTTCAACCTCAATCAGAGCACTTGATTACTGTACACGGCCGTGTGTGTGTGTGTGTGTGTGTGTTTGCTGTGTGTGTTTGCTGTGTGTGTTTGCTGTGTGTGTGCTGTTGTGCAAGCGAGAATGAGAGCGTCAACACGACACCAGCTCACCGCCGTTGCATCCTTACGCTGTAGCTCCACTGTTCTTTATTTTGGGTTTCGCAATGAACAAGCAACACGATCATTTTGAGCGGAGCACACACATACACAATGAACGCACACACAATACACAATGTACGCACACACAATACACAATGTACGCACACACAATACACAATGTACGCACACACACACAAGCAAGCAAGCACACAATGCACAGGGCTGACAGTCAACACATAACCACGACATAAGAATGGAAATCAAGGTGTACATCCACAGTCAATCACGTCACGCACACACACGCATGAAGACGTCATGAGGGAGCGGAGGAAGGGGATCACTTGTCCTCGGGTGTGGGGTCGCTGTTGTCCTTGAGGAACTGGCGCAGCGATGGGTCCATGTAATACGGACGATCCTGGCAGTGGCAGCAGCAGCAGAAGCAGAAGCAAGCGGCGAGGGGATATGTGGAGCGAGGAATTTGACGTGAGATGATGTGAAGTAAGGCAGTGCAGGTTGTGGTGTGGTGTAATGCTGTGATGTGCTGTGATGTGCTGTGATGTGCAGTGATGTGACGTGCAACCATACAGTCTGCGATCGTCGGACGTGACAACAGAAGCAGGTGCGGTACCTTTCCGTTGTTGCGCTTCTCGTCTTCGGCGAAGCAGAGGAAGATGGTGTCGACGGTCATGTCGTACACGTTGAGGAACTGGTCGGCGATGATGTACGCAATCACGCAGCACACGAGCACGACAGCGCCAAAGTAGTTGAGGTCCTCCTTGAACGACGTGTTGAGCTGCAGGCAAGGTATGGGGTGTACTCGTGAGCAGAGGAAGGAAAGGGCGTGTGTGTGTGTGTGTGTGTGTGTGTGTGTGTGTGTGTGTGTGTGTGTGTGTGTGTGTGTGTGTGTGTGTGTGTGTGTGTGTGTGTGTTATGTCACATGCTGACAGTGATTGGCGCAAGAAAAAGGATACGACAAAGACACGAAAGCCTGTCTCATCTTCATACGACACAACACACGAAGCATGGTGATTGCGTGCACGCGTGTGTGTTCGGGTGCTTCACCTCTGTGATCCAGTAGTAGGCGATGATGCCGACGCCGGCGACGACGAAGAGCTTGCAGATGAAGAGGACGAAGGACGTGACCAGGTTCAGCACGGCAACGCGGATCGCATTCTCAAGCAGCGTCTTGAACGCCTGATGGCCGGACAGGGCCGTGGCGGTAAATGGTGGTGATGGTGGTGGTGGTGGTGGTGATGGTGGTGGTGGTGGTGGCGAGGATGATAGGAGTGGTGAGTGGGTGCGTGATTAAAGGTCGGAGAGAAGGGAGAGCGGGTTAGATGGCGCAGAGTTCGGTCAGCTCTGCACAACTTTGTACCAGGAGCTGACAAGTTCATGCGTTCATGTGCACGTGGATGCATGCCTGCATGTGCGCACCTGTCTGGCGGCTGTGCAGAAGGAGTAGCCGTAGATGGCAATCTCGATGTAGGCGTTCTTGTTGATGAAGCGAAGGAACTTCTCCAGGCACCACAGGCAGCACCGGAAGCACTTGACGAGGAAGTCCACGATCGGCCCCTTGTTCACCTCAAGCTTGTGGTTGATGTACTCAAACACAAACCGCACCAGCTACAGATGCGGCGTTGAGCGAAAAAGATGAGGAAAGGGGGTGGTGAGGCGAGTTGCCATGCGATGCAGTGAGAGCAGGGGGAACACACCCAAAGTCAAGAAGGTAACACACGAGCAATACGTGCATGAATGCACGAACACGTACAAAAGCGTGCACGAGTGCATGTACAAGCGAGCACGTGCACAAGTGCGCGTCCAATACTGTAATTGAAAGCCGACCTTGACGAGGGCGATGATGAGGGAGCCGAACGCGGCTGATCCGAGATGGTAGCGGATGAGACGCCCGACCGACGCCCAGAACGACTCGGACTTCTCGTCCTTGCGTGTAAAGTACCTGAACACACGCACAGCAGCCAGTCAGGAGTAGAACGCGCGTGAGGCAAAAGGGAGTGAGGGGCGTGACAGTCATTCAGGAGCAACAACTGCAACACCAGCAGTAACACCGGAAACAACTGCGGCAGGAGCAGTTGGAACCACGCCGGCAAAGGCGACGGCCATCACCGCTGTGCTTCTAACCATGATGCGACGGCGCCGGCAATGGCAATCTCCTGGCAGGCGAGGATGAACTGGGAGATCCAGAAGAGGCCAAAGAGGTGGTACCACCACATCTCGCGGTAGTTGGTGCTGCGAGCGTGAAGATTAAGTGGATGGCAATGGTAACGTGAGCGATGAGCGGGCATGCAAGAGAGCCAAGAGCTGAACATGTACAAGTGACAAACAACATGCACAAAAATGAACAACATGCACACAGAGCCATGAAGAAGCACAATAAAGCACACAACTCCCGCCTCACACACACACACATACGCACACACACAGAGGAAAATCCCGCCTCTTCACACACACGCACGCACACACGCACACACACACACACACACACACACACACACACACATACAAACCCCCCCCCTTCTTTGGGCTGTGACTCACGGGTCGTCGTATTGGATGCGGCCTTGGACGAGTCGGCCGTCACCAGATGTGGCCATGTACGCATACACGGCGAGCCAGTACGCAATGAACGAGATCATAAACACGTTCGTCAGGATGGGCGTCAGGTACAGCTGGGAAGCATGTAAAGGGGGTGGCGTGGGTGAGGACACAAACATGAATGTATTGGTGATGATGGGAAGTGAGAAGGAGGTGAGTAGATGAGGTCAGAGATGAACACAGGGAAAAGATACACACGCAGCCACATTTATACACAACATCACGCACTCACACACATGCAATTACATCAACACACACGTAAACAATCACGGCGCGCGCACACACACACACACATGCACACACGCATACTATCACGCATGCAATCACGCATACAATCACATTCACACACATACACATGTGCACGCACCCATGGCATGCTGACGACGGCCTTGCTGCCTTGTTGGAGGATGACAACGGAGAGGCGAATGCGGTTGCGAACAGCGAGCGTGATGAGCCACAGGAGGCCGGTGAACACCCACAGGAAGATCATGAACCCGTACAGCAAGCGCTCGTTGCGCACATCTGTGTCGAGGCGCTCGCTCTTGGGCGTGCTGTTGAGGTCATCCTTGAGACCGCGCCACTCCGTGTATGTGACGACAGAGAGGGCGAGGGTACCGCCGAGGCCAAGAATGATCAGGCTGTACACCAGCACCTTCACGCAGCAGCTGCAAAAAAACACAAAGAGAGCGTGGGGTGGGGAGTCAGGCAAGAAGCATTGTGGGACGTGTCAGGTGGTGATGGCTGTAACAAGGGAAGAAAGGTTGCGCAAACGTCAGCGCAGACATCAAACCCGACCGCCAACTCCCGGGGGGAGGGGGAGGGGGATCGATAGTTGACAGACGTGCAAACAAGCACCAAATACACAAGCAAACACACCCACACACACAAGCATACACACACACAAATACACACACAAGCAAACAAGCCAACAGAGCATGGAGATTCATATTACCGCATGAGGAGGATGACGAGGAAGCAGACGACAACGGCGACGATGGCGGCATAGCCGAACATCTCGTAGCCGGCGATGAGGTCCGAGAACACCTGCTCGACCAGGTCATAGCTGTTGAAGATGTTGATCGTGCTCGTTTGCAGCGACTCCACTGCAATGTGCGTATGTGTAGGGAGGGGGGCAAAGGTACAAGGCGTGCATGGGTGTGAAGATGAGGATGAGGCACAGTCACCAGTGACAGTGGCACGTGGGCAAATGTCCCCAAATACAAACTCTCTCACACTCACTCACACTCATACTCACACACTCGCTCACGCTCACACTCACACTCACACTCACACACACACATACAAACTCACACTCACACACTCGCTCACAATTTGTACGACAATCACTTGTCACACTTACGGCCAGGAACGCAGCGACGAAGACCAAAGTAGTTCTTGGATGAGTAGACCGAGTCTGGGCACTCGTTGGCACCATCCGGGATCACGGACGCTGTGCGATGTTGGGTTAATGTAAGTGCATGAATGTGACGAGGGAAAATGTGAGGGTTGAGTGTGTTCCCCAATCGGGGCTCAAGCGGTGCCACCGGGCGGCATACACCGCACACTCACACAAGCAAACACACGCAGACGCACACGGGCGCGAATCGACAAACGCCACAAAACAACATACGCACGCACAAGCAAACACCACAAGCACACATCCACACGCACACACGCAAACAACCACACACGTACAGTTGTATGGGCCGTTGCTGAAGCAGACACCGGCGTTCTGGCACGGCGTGACGTCAAAGACACAGCTCTCAACGGCCGTGTCGTTGTTGTTGAGGGTCGGACAGGCACTGACGCACACAGCGAGGCTGGCATCCAGCGCGGTGGGATCGAGAAAGTACAGGAACTTGTAGTTGCGGAGATCGAGGCCGACGTTGGGGTTGCCGGTGCTGTTCTTGACCACAAGCCCCGTGTTGTCAACGCCGCAGATGTTGCCGAAGGAGTCCGTGCCGTAGATGATGCGCAGCGGGTTGCCGGTGTGGAAGGAGCGCCAGGCGATGACGGCCATACCGCAGCAGAAGACAACAAAGAGCAGCAGGAAGAACACGTCGCGAAGGCGGCGGCCCTCCTTGATTGGGCCCTTGAGCTCATTCTTGTTGCGCTTCAGCGTCTCGTGCACCTCCTGCACCTCAGGATCTTCATCCTCGTGCGTGCAATAGCAGCACCCCATGGTGGCTGGTGGAGAGATGCGCTTGCCTGTGCTTGGTTGGCTCGGACGGACGGGTGGACGGTAAGGGGTGAGGCCGGTTCGCTGGCTGGTTGAGAGGAGGAGCGCTGTTGAGTGAAAGCAGCAGCAGTTGGTTGTTGTTGTTGTGTGAAGAGAAACGAAACACGCGAAGAGAAAGAGGGGTGTGGCCATTTGGAATTCGCTTCCTCGCATCGAATCATTCCACGAAATGTAATTGTTTTGTGGATGCAGGTAACAACAACAAAGAGCGGACAACAAGGAACGACAACCACAACTGCAACCACACACGTGCACCACCACGCTCAACAACAACAGCAACTCTCACCTCCAACGATGACGGAGCTGCCGTCTGTTGCGCAGGTGATGCGGGCCGTGACGCAGGAAGGGCTGTCCATTTACAATCGCCTGCGAAGCATTGATGCCGACGTGGAATTTGTGGACCGCATCGCGGGCCTCTACGTACGCTGTCGTGTGGTTTGTGCGTGTTTGTGTGTGTTTGTATGTGGTTTGTGTGTGTGTGTGGTTTGTGTGTTCGTGTGTGTGTGTGTGCATGTGTGTATGTGTGTGTGTGTGTGTTGTGTGCGCGTGTGTGCATGTGTGTGTGCATGTGTGTATGTGTGTGTGTTGTGTGCGCGTGTGTGCATGTGTGTATGTGTGTGTGTGTGTTGTGTGCGCGTGTATGTTTGCGTGCCCCCCCCCTCTCTCTCGCTTGCTCGCTTGCTCGCTCTCTCTCTCTCTCCGTCCGTCTCTCTCTCTCTCTCTCCGTCCGTCTCTCTCTCTCTCTGTGTGCTTGCAATGGTGGCGTGGCGCTTTGTGCTTCTCAACAAGATTCGCTCTCAGTACACCCGATGCACTGGTTCTGACGACGCTGTGTTGCTGTTGATCTGCCCGTGTTGTCTTGCAGAGTGACTTACCGATTGTCGCCAACCTGAGATGTGGTGGCTGGTACTTTCCCGAATTTGACGGTGAAGTCCACTTCAAGAGCGCCGATGGCCATCGCGGTCAATGGCAGGTGTCCCTCAAGCGCTTGAATCTCCACCTCCTACCCCTCCTTGCTGAGAAAGGTGAAGAGTGGATGAGGGCGCGGGCATGAGTGAGTGTGTGTGTGTGAGTGAGTGAGTGAGTGAGTGAGTGAGTGAGTGTGCTGTGGGTCAATGTATGCATGAGTGAGTGTGCGTCGTGTGTGTCTATGTGTGCGTGACTGTCTATCTGTTTGTGTCTCTGCTTGTTTGCGTTTGTCGAATCGGTATGACCTGGGTGTCAGTGAGTTTTATGATGCGTATCCTGGCGCCTGCGTTGACGCTGGAATGTGGCACTCACAACCTGTCCCATACCACCACCACCACCACCACCACCACCACCACCACTGCATCTCCTCTAGGCGGGTGTGTGCTGGTCGATTCGACTCGGAAGGCGCGCACGTTACCTGACAGTTTCAGCCGCACGGTGCCCATGTGGTGTGCTGTCATGAACCGCCTGCACGACATCCTCTACGGTGATTGTCGCGGCGATGCGGATGATAGCGTGGATCACGGCAAGGTGGGTGCGCCGGATTGGGATACACAACTGCACTGTCCGCCGACCACAGTGCCCCAACAGGAACTGTGTCAAATGCAGGACCTCCTCGACGCACGCGTACGTCGGCTCATGTGTGCGTATGTGTGTGTGTGTCTGTGTGTGTGTGCGTGTATGTGTCTGTGTGTGTACATGTATGCGTGTCTGTGTGTGTGTATCAAGATGTAGCGTGCGTGAATGGGTGTGTGAAGACACGATGTACGTTTGTGTGTGTGTGTGTGTGTGCGAGTGGTGCACGATGTACATGTGCACTGCTGGTATGGAAGCGTTTCACTGCTTCCGTTGGCATGCCACTCGCGCACTCTTCACCACCGCTGCCACCACTAACGTTGCATGACATGTGCAGGTGCATGCGGTGCTGGAGAGCGGGGTGGACCTGTCTCTGCTCAAAAACCTGAGGAAACCGCTCCGAGCGACGTGGGTCACGACAGAGACAGCCAGGGCGCACGAAGCAGCCAGTCGCAGCGATGGTGACACCAGCACGCTGGAACTCGAACATGTGGACCGCACAAAGTACACCGCGATTGTGTGCTTGTGCGCATCAGAACCGGTTGACATTGAACAGCGGCGCGGGTACGTGTATGTGCAGGGTGCCGCCGACGACGAGGAGACATGGAGCATGGGGCTGACACCTCGCCTCTTCTGGCAGCACAAGACAGACCTGCTTGATGGCGATTCAGACACGTGCGGTGACCGCGTGCGGGCGCTGGTGTCGCAGCAGATGTGCTCGGGGGTTGAGGCAATGACGCCCGACGTGCTGGCAGACCGCGACCTCATCCTCGCACACGCAACAACACATCAGATTGGTGTGTGTGTGTGTATGTGTGTGTCTGTGTGTGTGTGTCTGTGCCTGCGTAGGTTTGTACATGTGTCTGTCTGTCTGTCTGTCTGTCTGTCTGTCTGTCTGTCTGTCTGTCTGTCTGTCCGTCTGTCTGTCTGTCTGTCTGTGTTTGCTGGTTTCCACCACCGCTCCTCCTCTCCGCATCTTCTCCCGCCACCTGTTTTCGTCATCGTCGTCGTTGTTGTTGTTGTTGTTGCTGTTGTTGTTGCAGGCACCACGAACCTGTTCATTGGCAATCGGTTTGCTGCCGCCCATCCCTGGTGCCTCGAGATATTTGATGCTGTCGTCGTCTGCTTGCTTCCATCCGAGCTGCCACACCAGCCCCAGCACCGCTCCATCCTGCCTGTTCGCATGCCTGCAGGCAAAAGGCACAAGAAGGAGCTGGAGGACCACTTGGAGCAAGTGCTGCTCTTCGTGCGGCACCACCTTGCACAGGACCACCGCATCCTCGTTGCCAGCGGCGACAGCAACGACCGGTACACGAAGGACTTTTGTGTGTGTGTGTGTGTGTGTGTGTGTGTGTGTGTGTCTGTGTGTGTGTCTGTGTGTGTGTGTGTCTGCCTGTGTATCTGTCTGTGTGGCTGTGTGTATGTCTGTGTGTGCGCATGTGTGTGCGCATGTGTGTGAGTGTGTGTGTATGAATGTGTGCGTGTGTGTGTGTGTGTGTGTGTGTCTGCGTGTGTGTGTCTGCGTGTGTGTGTGTGTCTGTGTGTGACTGTGTCTGCCTGGGTGCATCCGTCTGTGTGTATCCGTCTGTGTGCATCTGTTAGAGCCTGTCTGGGTGCATGTGGGCACCTGCATCTGTTTGAGTGTGTGCATGCGTGTCCAAGCCAGCTTGCTTACTATGTCTTTGGCTTACTTGTGGTGTGTATCATGTGGCTCACCCATCCCATGCACCCCTCCGCCTTCTCTTTCTCTTTCTCTTTCTCTGCCCTTTTTTCGTTCGCAGAGCGCCCACAGTTGCCACGGCCGTGCTGGCTGCGTTCTTCACACCGGATCTCAGTGTCAACTGGATTGGCGGTGCACCACCAGACATTCACCAACCGCAGCTCACAAAGCAGGACTTTACCCGCGCCCTCCACTGGTACGAGGCACTGGTGGTGCTCGTGTGTATGTGTATCAAATCACGCGTTTTGCACACAGATCGAGACTGAGCATGGTTCGCTTGCACACATACACACACATACATGCACCCACTGTCACACATGCACACACACGTAAACATGCACACACACACGCATACACACACACGCACGCACACACACGCACACACTCTGCAGCATTCGGCAGCGCGTGCCGTCCGCGTGTCCCTCGCGACACAACATGCGCAAGTTGACGTCGTTCTTCCTGAGCCATCCCCGCCCTGCATCGCATATCTGGGCCGGACCAACAACACGACAAACGAGCAGCGACCAACACGACGGTAACGACAGCAACGGTGATGGCAACGAGGCAGCATGAGCATGACCTGTGGACGATATGATGTATCGTCGTTTTCAGCTCAACTCTGCCCACAAACATGTTCAGTGCTGTTGACGTTTACTTATCATCGTGTATTAAAACCCCTTACAACCTCGCTCGCCAACCAGCCAATGACAACACGCTCCCTCTCATGCACATTCACACAGTACAAAGACAAACAAACACACACACACACACACACACACACACACAAACACACACACATGAACACGCATAACCGCGCGCGCATTTGGCATGCACAGACGACACTGTCGTTGCTGTGTTGCATCAATCATCCAAAACGGTGCCGCCTTGGAGAGAGCAAACAACCGCATACACAGAAATACGCGCAACGAAGAGCGGGAAGGCTGGAGCGAAGCAAGCAACACTCGATAGTCAAGAGAAAAGGGAAAGCGCGGGGAGCTTGATTAGGGGCAAGTCAGAGCAAGCACAGTCATGACGACTGCAAATAACAGCAACTGCAAATAACAGCAACAACGTGTAACGGATTGTCACAGAATGCATGGTAACCAATGAGCTAGGGCAGCGCATAAGAACCAGTCAGGCATGCAGCGTCACAGCAAACGCAGTTGTAATGCAATGGAAAGGAATGCAACGCCTCAGGTAACCGGGGAAAATGAGCGGTGATGCAATAACAAGACGGTGTACTTGGGCGTGTGTAGCAGCAATTAGGGAACCACACGCAGTGTAAGTGCTGTCAGCACGCTCGAGTCACCCAATCAACGGACTGCACCGATATGCACCACTTCAAAGTGGCTCGCGTTGTCCACTGCACACGGGTGCATCTGACAACAGCGGCCACCTGCTCTCGGCACGCCTCAGATGTAGCTGGTGCTGTTGCTGCGGCTGCTCTTGCGTGAGGCAGGTGGTGAAGGCGAGGACGAGTTGGAGGGCGATGGAGACGACGGGGAGTAGCCACCAAACCGCATGAACGGCACACGCGTGACCGTCACTTTGTAGTTGTGGCCGTCGTTGTTGTCCCAGAACTCCTTTCCATCAGTCAGATAGCGAATGGCGAATTCAATGCAACCGCTGCCTGGCGCCGTTGGGAACGACAGGTTTGCCTGCAGGCAAAGGAAGCCAAGAAAGAAAGAGCACAAGGCAAGCGTATGTGCGATGCGGGTTGGGGGGGGGGCAAGTGAGTTGGAGCTAAGTGGAGCACACATAGCACAAACAGTTTTCGCACAGTCACATAGACACAGCTTTCGCACAAGCAGTTTTCACACAGTCACACAGACACACACACACGTGGACATACACACGCAAACACAGAGCATTCGCACAAGCAGTCTTCACACAGTCACACAGACACACACACACACGTGTACATACACACGCAAACACAGAGCATTCGCACAAGCAGTCGTCACACATGTACACAGCATTCACGCACAGCGCACACACACACACACAAATACGCACGTAGAATCGATCGGAGGATGGGTCCGACGAGCCGGGGAGGTAGTCGGCGTGCACATCGTGGTGTGAGCGCCAGCCATCCGTGGTGTAGCGGATAATGACGCTCTTCTCAAACGCGAGATTGAGCACGCGAACGATGAAGAAGAGGTACGGCGTGTGTGTCGTCAGGTCCTCAAGCTGCACGTACTTGCGTGAAAGTGCATGCAACATGGCCACGCGCGTGTGGGGAAGGGCGCCCACGTCAGCAAACGAGAATGTTGTCTTGGAAGGGCGGTACGTGTCGTTACCGCCACCTCCACCTCCACCTCCACCAGGCTGCTGCTGCTGCTGGCGCTGCATCCACGACGCTGGCAGCGCGGGCTGGCGCGTGCGCGCTGGTGCGCGCACATTGGACAATGATGTTGTTGTTTGCGAGGAGGATGCTGCACGTGGCCTTGCGGAGGTGACGGGAGACGACGGTGGCGATGCAAGCATCTGCGCCTCCAAGCGCTGCGCGGCGGTATTGGAGCTGATGTTCGCACGGACGCGGTTGGTGCGCGGCGTCTTCTTCAAGCAGCTGCGCAGCGTGCCCTCTGGGGTCAGTGACGATGCAGGTGGAGGCGGCCGAGATGGTGACAGCGACAGGGCAGGGTCCAGGTCAAAGTCATCCGTCAAGTCGAGATCCACGTCGTCGTCGTCATCGGCATCGTCACCACAATCGCCATTACAGCCGTCTTCACCGTCATCCTCCTCGTCCTCCTCGTCAGAGTCATCATCGTCGCTGCTCTCCATGGGGTTGGGAATGAGCCCGTTGCTGCTGCACGCGTTGGGTGGCTCTTCCTTCCAGAAGTACATGGACGAGCACAGCTTGCGGCCAGTGCTGTCGCGCCACTTGAGCCGGCTCGCCCGGCGGTCGCGGCGGGGCGTCACCTGCCACATCTGGTCGGCGAGATGCGGGGGCTGGATCAGCTCCGTGCTGTACCGCTTCACCTCGCGGCGGGCGAGGTGATCTGGCGGGAGCGTCCCAATGGCCTCCGCCACATGCTTTGACAGCGCCAGCGGCGACGTGGGGGAGCGCGAGGTGCTGGCCTGCGCCGCCTTGCTGACAGCACTTGTCGCACCACTGGTTGCACTGACAGCGCTCTTTGCTGTTGACGTGTTGTGGCCGTCATCATTCGGTGCAGCAGCACGTGCAGCGGCATTCCCGCCCTCCGTTGCGTTGGCGTGGTGGAGAGCATCGTCTTCCTCTTCCGTGTGCACAGGGGTCGAGGGAGGTGAGGCTGGGGACGGCGGGACGGGTGGGGATGCGAGTGAGGGCGACCCGATTCCCCCGTCCGCCTTTGCATCCACACGCGTGCGGTCGAGTGCGCGGAGTGCGGCCATGGCTGTTGCTACATCCCATTGCGTCCCCCGCTTTGCCAGCGACTCGGGCGACGTTGACGCTGTCGATGGTGGGGATGATGAGGACGATGATGAGGACGAAGGGGAGGGGGAGAAGGAAGGGGCAGACACAGGCGAGGACGTTGCCGAGGCGCTCTTCGTTATGGCTTTCGCAGCAACAGGCCTTGGCGAAGATAGGGTCGTCCCAGTACGGCCCGACTTGACTGCTGCGTGTGCAAAAAAGTCGTGCAGCTGTGGAGCAGAGTAGGCGCGCTTCAGGCAGGGCGCCTTTGCTTTGCGCCTCAACAGCTGCTCTGGCGACAGGCCGTGCTGCTGGAGGTACTGCTGCTGCTGCGAGAGCTGGCGCTGACGAGGATGGTCTGGGGGCGGCGAGGACGCTGACGCTGGCGTCACCTTCTGCCAGGTCATGGCAGGGAAGACAAACACGGGATGATGTGGCGACGGCGACAGGGAGGAGAGGGACCACGCCTTGCGCAGGTCAGGGCCGTGGTGCTGGTGTTGCTTTTGCTGTGTGTAGTCCGCCCAGATCCCACGTGATGCCGCTGTTGGTGTTGTTGCTGGGGGCGGGGTGCCGTGCCGTTTGGTGTGCTTGGTGTGCGTGGTGGCAACACGGCCACCCACAAACGCATCGTTGTGATCGCCCATGCCACCATCGAGAAAGTACACGTCAGCGTCGTGATCGTTGTCGTGCAAGTCACGGCAGCGTGCGGGCAGGCTCACCGTCCGCGTGCGCCTGCACTTGGCGTTTGATGAGAACAGGCGCTCCGCTTGACTTGTTGCTGCATATGGCCGAGTTGCAGCCGGTGGCGGTGCTGCTGCCTTTGTTGTCGTTGCTGTCGTTGTTGTTGTTGTTGTTGTGGCGTTCTTGGCCGATGCCGTGGCTGAGGCGGGCTGCGATGACGGGGTGGTCGATGTTGTGGTGCCTGCCTGAGCAGATGGGTCATTGGTTGTGTCCAACACAACGAGAGAGCTCATGCTGGTGATAAAAGTCGACTACAGCGGAAAGCGGGAGGAGGAGGAGCGGCAGCAACGAAGGTGTCGTCGATGACGATCAAGTGTGGTTGTTGATCCTTGGTGATGAGACGAGGGGTGAAAGGTGCTTGGAAGTGCTGCCGCTTCGACGGGGTGATGAAGTGATGAAGCGATGAAGCGATGAAAGTGATCTCGTGCGTGTGTGACAATGGAGGTGGGCTGGGGGCGACGGAGTGGGCGTGAAGCAGGTTGCGTGGTGCCGGTGGCTCTTGTTGATGCTGGTGGTTGGTAAACAGAAACAGAGACAGAGGCAGAGCAATCACGGCGGGAAAGCCAAACATATGAGGGTGCTGCTGGTGGTGGTGGTGGTGGTGGTGGTGGTGTGACCGACCGTGTTGCCACTGATGAAACAAGATGACGCAAAAGAAACTGCGTGTGTGCGTGTGTGTGTGTGTGTGTGTGCGTGTGTGTGTGTGCGTGCGTGTGTGTGTGTGTGTGTGCGTGCGTGCGTGCGTGTGTGTGTGTGTGTGTGTGTGTGTGCGTGCGTGGAGGAGGCTACGATGCGGCCAGGATCAGCAGCGCCAGCGGCGCACAGGAGTAATCGCTGCTTACCAACTCAGGGTGGTGGTGGTGATGGAGTGATGGAGGAGGACAACGCCAAGAGATGGTTGCCTGCAAGCACGGGGGCGCAGTCCTGTAAACGTTGATCAGCCTTTGCCGAGTGCTCGATCACAGCACGTAAGAAAGACGAGGCGAGGAGACGGGACGCAAGATCTGTTTGGCCTTCGCTGCCTACGCCTAACTCTGTGTGTTGTCAACGTGATCCGAGAGCGTGTGTTGATCGATGGTGATGTTTGCTGATGACGATGAAGTTGATGGGGATGATGAGTGATGATGATGATGGTGGGTGATGATGATGGTGTTTCGCGTGGACGCCTGGACGCGCTCCGTTTAGGGAGAGAAGACAAGAAGACAGCCAGTGTGTTCTTCTTGTTGGGTGTGCTGTAGGCCTGTTTGTGCGTGCTCCCCTTGGTGGTCGCTTGCTCTCCCAGCCCAGCAGAGCGGAAAGGGAGGAGGAGGAGAAAAAAAGTGACACACGAAGGCAAATCAGCAACGCGTTCACAAGCGAAGCAACAACGCAGGTTTGTGCCTGCAGAACGCGCAACACGCCAACAACAAGGAAGCGGGTTTGTCTTTCTTTTCAGGCGTGCTTGCTTGCTTGCTTGCTTGTGGGTGGAAGGGAAGGAGGACAGCCAGGATTTTTTATCTGGGCGGAGGTTCCTCGAGCAAGCGCAACCGTCGGCAATTTGCGATAATCACTGGACAACATTCATGAAAACCATCCCTAATAAACGCAACCAATACTGGCACCATCTTATGGTGTATGTTACAGTTGGTGGCGATGACGACGATAACGAATGTTTGCGCGCATCATCGCATATTTTCTACAACGGCAACGATGATGAGGGCAGGAAGCGCGGTGTTGTTTGTGGTGGTGCTGGCCCTGGCTGTGGTCGCGGCTGGGAAAGTTCTTGCGACGACGACGACGAAGAGGACTGGTGGCGCAGGTCCTGGTGCAGGTGGTGTTGGAGGTGGTGTCGGCAGTGACAACAACAACGAGACACGTGGAGTAGGGACACCTGTGTCATCGGGGTCATCCTGGTCTCCAGCCCAATGTCGTGAAGCAGGCTTCTTGGAAGGCCTCATCTGCTCGGATTGCGAGGTGTGTGAGTGTTTGTGTGTGTGTGTGAGTGTGTTTGTGTGTGAGTGTGTGTGTGTGTGTGAGTGTGCGTTGTGTGTGTGAGTGTGTGTGTTTGTGCGTGTGTGTTGATAAGTGTTTGTGTGTGTGTGTGAATGTGTAGCTTTGCAGCCCCACTTTAGCGCGCAGTTGGGCACCACAACCACGATACACCCGTGCACGTGTTCATGCTCGCTCAACAACTACACACGCTGCTCTGTCGCGTTTCTCTTTCATGGTGTGTTATTGCTCCCCCCCCCTCACACACCCACATGCCCACGTTAGCTTTCGGCGGAGCATCTGGACATTCCTGGCTTCAAGGACACGTGCCTGCGCTGCTGTGAAGCGGTGGAAGGCGTCGACGCTGCCACGGTGCGTGACTGGGAAAGGGTTGTGGTTCGCATGGGTCTTGTCATCGCAAACGCAGCCACCTCATGCGTCGCAGCCACCTCATGCGTCGCAGCCACCTCATGCGTCGCAGCCACCTCATGCGTCGCAGCCACCTCATGCGTCGCAGCCACCTCATGAGCTCACTCATCCTTTCACACATACACGCACACACACACACACGCACACACGCACCCACACACACACACACAGGTGAAGTATCCAAAGGCAGTGCTGGAAATGTGCAACTGCAAGCTTCGCGCCTTTCCTCAGATTGAACGTGAGGCAGCAGTTGTGACAGGGGATTTTCATGTAACAAAGCCTCGCTGCTTCACACCTGCCTGCTTCCCCGCGTCAAGCACACACACACACATGTGCACATACACACGTACACACATACACACATACACACATCCACACACACACACGTACACACGTGTTAATCACACATACACGCTCACACAAATGCTCGCGCACACACGCGCACACATATGCTCACACACACACACACACAGCCTTTGTCACTGGCCGCATGAAGAACGCATTCAAGAACATGAAACACAAGGTACGCCTGTAAACAAGGGTTGGAAACTCGTTGTGACTGCTGTGTCGTGCACGCCCACCCATCCTGTGCGTGCCCTCACCTCTGCATGTTCAACTTGACTCAAACGCATGTCAAAAACAGCACATCAACGGCGCCCCGCCACGCCTGAAACTTATGGACAAGAAGGGAAAAGTCGTGGAAGTCCTCAAGTGAGTACGTGTGTCTGCGTGCCTGTGTCTGTTGTGTGTGTGTGTCTGCGTGTCTGCGTGTCTACGTGTCTGTGTCTTTGCCTGCATCGGCCCTTCATCTTTTCGAACTCTGTGTTTGTTTGGTCCCTTGCTTTGATCCACTATACTCACTGCACCTGCTCTTTGTTGGGTCACGTCAGCATCGAGAAATGGGACACGGACACGGTGACTGCATTCCTGGAAGAGAGGCTTGAAGCCTAGGCAAACAAGAAACGGGTGGCAGGTGGCCGGTGGCCGGGGGGTTTCCGGTCCACATGACCATGGCCACAATCAACCAACCCACACCACCATGATCTGTGCATCACCACTCTGACATTGCATATGCTACCAACAACATGCCCTCGGTTGTTACGCCATTGCTTAGCCCGTATTAAACAACCCCTTTTACTGCTAAAGCCAAATGCACATGGCACAAAGACTCCACACGCAGACGCGCAAACACACACAAAGAGTACAAATACAGTACGCACACACACACACACACACACACACACACACACACACACACACACACACACACACACACACACACACACACACACACACACACAAAAGCACGTCAGTCAGCGAGGAGGCGGTTGAGCTTGGCGTCGAGCTGTGCGAGTGCGGCCCTCACGTCCTTCATGCTGCGCTGCGTGTCCCCCACGTGCTTATCCACAATCTTCGCCAGCTCCTCAACCCGCGCCCCCATGCGCTCCTCGGCCTGCCCTACGCGGCCCTTGATGTCCCGCAGCATGCCCTGCCACACCGCCTGGTCCTCCGCCAGCTGCGACGCGTGCTCCGGTATCAGCACTGCCCCGCGCTCCGGCCACGCGCCAACACGCAGCGGCTGCGTAATCAGCAGCAGCTTGGCCACATCCCGCGTGCCCTTGCACTCCACAACCTGGCGCTGGCGGTGCCGGTACCGCCGCTGCTGCTGCTGGGTGCTACCATGGAGGGTTGATGTTGTCGTGGTGCTGGTCGCCATCGTTGGCAGTGGTGGGGTGCGTGGTGCCGGCGTGGCCGTGCCCACATACTCGCCAACAGCACCAGCCAGCCGCTGCTCGAACCGACCCAGGGTCAGCACGTTGACGACAACGAAGACGGCAAAGGCGACGATGCCAAACGCAGCGGCCATGACGCGTCGGAGCCAGAGGAAGAGCGAGGCCTCCTGGTCGTCCAGGATCTTGGCCTTGGCCATCGTCAGCTCCATCGCAGACCGGTCCTGGATGCGCTCATACGAGTCCGACAGGATGGCAATCAGAAGGTTCAGCAGAATCACCAGCACCAGGAACATCACTGCAATAAACACCACCCGCAGGCTGAGGTTGTCGCTGGCAGAGGTGAAGAGCGAGTCGTCGTATCCGCCAAAGAGCAGCATTGTCGTCGTCGTGAACAGCGCCTGCGCCACGTCCGTAAACCCGCCACCGCCCGCATCGTGCAGGAACACATACAGGCTGTTGGTCGCGCCCAGCACGACAACCAGCAGCACTGCGAGGAACACGTACGTGTCGCGCAGGATCTGCAGCAGCATGAGCACCAGCGGGCCCGTGCGCTGGAAGGGGAGGAGGAAGTAGAGAAGGCCAATCCACTGCAGGACAACCGTGAACGCAAGCACCGTGCGCGCTGCCCTGCTCTCTTGCAGGTACAGCACACCAAATGCAAGCGTCATGGAGGTTCGTGCAAGGTCTAGCCAGTTCCACAGGCTGGAGAAGTGGGTGGCGGCGCGGTGGGACAGCTGGTACGCCTCGTCCGCGCCGCTAATCGCAGCCAGCACCAGTATCGCCAACACCACGCTCTGCATTGCCACCGTGCCATCGTCAGTGCTGCCACCGCCAAGTCCACTCGCGCTGGTGCTTGTGGCAGCTGTTGTCGTCGTCATTGTTGTCGTAGTCGTACTCATAGTCTGCGAGCCGGAGCTTGAGGAGGAGGAGGAGGGGACGTCGAGAGATGCTGGCCACTGGTGTGTTGACACGGACACAAACACGAGCAGCGCCAGCATGATCACGTGCAGCGTGGCCTCCAGCACAAACGCAAATCGACCACCGCACTGCCACCGCAGCTGCACCGCCGCCCGCAGCGGGAGGTACTGGAACAGCTCGGCGCGCCCGCTCGCCACGAGACTCGAGAACAGTGACGACGACGGTGCTGAGGACGACGATGACGGCACGGGGGGCGGCATGGGCACAGACGTGGACGCGGGCTCGCCTGTACCACCTGCGACTGCTGCTCCTGTCTGTGGGATGGAGGAGAAGGCAGCAGTGCCGTTGGTGTTTGCTGTCGTTCCAACCGCTGGCACGAGCGGTGCACGGGAGGAGGCCAGGTCGGCACCCTGGGCGTTGCTGCTGCTGTTGCTGCTGGTGTTGCTGCTGCTGTTGGCATTGGTGTTGCTGCTGCTGCTGTTGGTGTTGGTGGTGCCATCACCCCAGGCTGCCTGTGGCGCAGAAGGGGGCGACGAAGCAAACGATGTGGTGGCAGTCGACGCGCTGTTGTCGTGCCCACCATTCGCACCACTGGTGCTGTCGCTGCTGCTTCCAACGGCGACGTGGCTCGTGTGCACGTGGTGATAGCCAGCGGTCCCGCCGTCCATATGGGCGTTTTCGCTCAACCGCGATCCCTTCCTGCTCGCTGCCGCTTCATCGCCGACAATGAGCGACCACCACCACCACCGCCACCGCCGCCGCGCCCCGCACAGCGCCCGCATGTCGAGGTCAAGGACCTGTGTGCGCACGAGTGTTGCGTCGCGTCGCTCGTGCGTCTCAACATACGCCTCAAACTCCGCACGCCGCAGCAGCAGGCCCGCATCAACGACAATGAAGTCGCCCGGGCGGAGGCGGGCACGCGGCACATATGTGCGGAAGGTGTTGGCGGGTGGGAGGGTCAGCACGTCGTTGGCAATCTCCACTGCCAGGCTGATGTCGGAGCCAATTGCCGCCTGGAACAGCGACGTCTGCACCTCGGGCACGCTTGCGTACGGCAGCTTTCCCGATTGGGCAAGCGCAATGGCGGCTGGAGGGTCCTCTGCGATGAGATCGAGCACGTGTGGCAGGAGGTGCGCCTGCACCGCGGGCTCCCCAACGTACGGCAGCAGCCCCTTGATGGCCAGGCGAATCGCGCGCGGCGGGTCCGATGCAATCAGCGACAGCACCCCCGGCTGCAGCACGCGCTGGATCTCCGGCACGTCCACGTGCGTGAAGACGCCCTTGGTGGCCAGGGCGAGGGCGTCCTGGGGCGCGAGCCGCACCGTCTCCAGCGCCTCAAACGGCGCCCGCCACACCCGCACCGTGTTATCGTCGCTCCCCGTGACAATGTGCTCGCTGTCACGCGTCACGGAAACACAGAACACCGTGCTCGTGTGCCCCAGCAGCGTGGCCAGGCACGTGCGTGTCTCCAAGCACCACACCTTCACTGTCGTGTCATCGCTGACGGAGACGACGTTGTTCTGGGCGTTGGGCACGACGGCGACAGCAGTCACGGCGCTGCGATGGCCCGTCAGCGTGCCCACAAGATGTCTGGCCCCTTCCTTCGTCTGCTGCTGCTGCTGCTGTGACTTTTTGGTGGGAGCAGTGCTGCTGTTGTTGCCCGCCTGTGGTGGGAGCTTCCACAGGCGCAAAGTCTTATCCCCTGATGCCGACACGATGAGGGACCCAGAAGCCGCGAGGCACAGGCCGTTGACATATGCCGTGTGGCCACCCATCGACGCGATGCGAGACAGGGTGGCGGAGGTGGATGACCTTGCTGTTGCTGTTGACGATGAGGAGGAGGAGGACGACGACGGTGAAGTGACCAGGCGCCACACGTTGACGGCGTAGTCGCCACCACCGGAGATGACGCGCGTGCCGTCGTCCGTGATGCAGACGCAGCCAACACCTTTGGCGTGCGCATCTTCGATGACGCACTCGCATTTGAAGGTGTCCAGGCTCCAGATGCGGATTGTGTTGTCGCGGCTGCTGCTGATGATGTGCTTGTCGTCTGGGGTGATGGTGATCGACGACACAAAGTTGGAGTGGCCCTCCAGGGTCGCCACGCACTCGCGCGTCGCCGTGCTCCACACCTTGATGGCGTTTGCGGCCAGCCCACGGTTGAGCGCAAAGGTCATGACGACGCCGCAGCCAGACACGACGTACCAGCCGTCCCGCGTCTCGCTGATGGCGTTGACGTCACTGATGTGGCCCTCCAGCTGCGCAACGCACGCGTGCGTCTGCAAGTCCCAGATGCGGATCACGTCATCCCGGCTGCCGGAATACACATGTCTGCCGTCCGCTGACGCGTACACGCAACGCACCCACTTGGTGTGCCCTTCAAACACGGCCTCCATGTGACGTGTGGTGGTGAGTGAAGGTGTAGTTTGGGGGGGTGGTGTTGTGTGGAAAGGGGGAGGCAGGGCAAGAGGGCAGTGGGTGAGACTGGGCGAGTGAGTGAAGAAGGCGTGAGTTGTTTGCTTTGTGCGCAGAGATTGAAGGGCAGGGTCGCCAACCACACCACCGCCAGTCGTGACGAAATGTGCTGAAAAACATTCGCAAATCGCCCACAATCACATCGCGCGCCACTTGCTTGCTTGCTTGCTTGCTTGCTTGCACACACACACACGCAGATCATTCCATCATCGTCAGCCAGCATGAGCCACAAAGTTGCGGACGTGTACCTGAAGTGGCTGCAAGGTGGGGCCTTGTTTCCAGACTACTTTCCCGTGTACAACACAAGCTGCAGTGAGGTGCAGGCGCAATGTGAGGGCGCCTTCAACTGCCTCTCCCCAGACCGCGTCGCCATTGCTTCCTTCATCGGCCACATGTGCGTCTGAGTTTGTGTGTGTGTGTGTGTGTGTGTGTGTGTGTGTGTGTGTGTGTGTGTGTGTGTGTGTGTGTGTGTGTGTGTGTGTGTGTGTGTGTGTGTGTGGATGAAGAGGGACATGACCACGAGCGCACGCCGCGCATCTCTCTCGTGAGACTCTTCTTCCTCAGCCAATCTCCCAACAATCACACACACACACACACAATCAAACGACATACATGTGCGTACAATCACTCGTGTGCACGTACGTTGAGGAGGCGGTTCAAAGTGTACCGCAAACTGCCTGCTGCTGACAAGTGTTGGTGGGTGAGCAAGTAAGTCGCACAGGCACCCACTTTTCGAGAGCCACAGAACCGCTGCTGTTGCTGTTGCTGTTGCCGCTGCTGCCATCACCGGGTGCACGTGTGCTTCCCTGTTGCGCCGCTGACCGCGTGTCGTCGTCGTCGTCGTCGTCGTCGTTGTTGTTGTTGTTGTTGTTCACAACAGATGCAGAGGCATCAACGGTTGCGCCCGCCGTTGTACCCGCGGTGGTGGTGGCTGTCACGGACGTCGTCCCACCTGCCCCAGTTGCCGCAGTTGTCGTCGTCGTTGTTGTTGTTGCGGTCGACGTCATGGGGTGGGGTGGGTCGATGATGGCGCGGTGAATTGTGACGAGCGGGTGCTTTGCCGCGTCCTGGTGTTCCGTGGAGGCGAATTTGACCTCGAGCGACGTGGCAGTTGCGTCACCCAGTCGCACCAGCAGCACTCCGGTCCAAGCCTTGGTTGCGGTGGTGTTCGTGTGCCATGCCTCGACAATGGAGGTGATGTCCCACGACAGGTGGCCAGCGGTGGAGGGGAAGGCAACTTGAGTTGGGGACTGCAGCTGAGCTGTTAGGGACGCGCTGGGAACGGTGCAATCGCCCGTGCAGGCAAGATCAAGTGGGCCGGCCACCGCCTGCACAATCAGCGGAGGGAGCGACCCCGTGAACGGCGTGACAGTAACCCCGATGAAGTACAGGCTCAGCTCCACGCTTGTTAACGTTGCAGCGGAGTTTAGCTGTTCACCCAGCAGCTGCCCAAGCGCATCCAGATCAACCTGCACCAGCGCATGCTGTGGCGGGTTTCCAGCCACAACCCTGCCATGCAAACACGCCAACCCGCCATGCTCATCATGTCAGGCACGCAGGTGCACAACACAAAGCAGGTGGTGCGCGGTAACGTGTGATCTCACATGAAGCAAGACTTGTGCAGGGGAAAGAGGGGGGGGGGCGGTGACTGGGAGGTTGGTTGATTGACCAGTGGTGTGGTTCACCTCCAATGTGCGCCCAGGGTACGGACGCACGTGCACGCCCCATATACATGCATCACACGAGCCAGCCAGACTCACAGGGTCGATTCGGTTTGGCCAAGAATGGCATCGTTGCTCCAGGTCGCATCATGGACGATGTTCACCGTGGACATCTGGCTTGGACCAGACAATGGGTCCACTACTTGGTTTGTTGTCGTTGTGGTGGTGGTGCTCGAGGCTTGCTGTTGATTCCAGCGACCAGTGTGGTCATCATCGCCACCGTTGCCATGATTCCAGTTCTCCCACCACGACCACCCTCCTCCTCCTCCTCCTCTCTGCCCTGCGCACGGCGTGAGCACCGCCACAAACACCACCGCCACCGCACACACAAACACCACCAACCCCTCCTTCCTCATTTCCACCTGCGTGTGTTGTTTTTTGTGGGAACTCCACAACGTCAGTTGGTTTTCGCTGAGTCAGCAAGCAAGACAAACAAAGCAAGCAAGCAAGGAAGGAACGCGCAGGCAGGAGAGACGGCGATGTTTGGTGGTGGTGGTGGTGGTGGTGGTGGTGGTGGCAAGGACAAGCGAGCGGAAGCAGTGGCTGCAGCCAGACAGGCACGCGAAGACAGGTGTGTGTGTTGTGTTGTGTGTATGTATGTGTGTTGTGTGTGCGAACTGCTGATTGCACGACTGCCATGCTCACGATATACATATCGCTCCAGCCCCCCCCCCAAACCCATTCCAACCATGTTCACAATCCCCACCACCACCATCGTCATCATAGACAACGGGCTCGGGAACAAGAAGAACGTGATGCGTTGGAGAACAGCGCAGCCATCACCATCCAGGTTTGATGAAACCTCATGCGATGTGTGCGTGTGTGCGTGTGTGCATGTACAGATGCTTGATTGTGTACGTGCAGCTGCTGATCCGGTTGTTCATCGAGCACTTGCTTGCCTTCAGCTCAACCCACTCTTTCCCGTCTCTCCTCCTCGGGCTCATATGCATGCGCACGTACACGCGCACAGTGTGCTTGCAGGCAGCATTTGGCAAGAAAGCAAAAGGCAGCAGCGTACCGCGAGCGCGTTGATGCTGCGCTGAGCAGAGATGAGGGTGCACTACCGCCGCTCCAGCTGTATGAGGTGGTGCGCATGCTGCTGCGCGTGTTTGATCCCGCCCACGACCGCGACCGCTTCCACACTACAGCCAAGATTATCCTGCGAGGCGTGTTTGCTGCCGGCAGTGACAGTGCCAATGCCCTCAACTCGTACTTCTCTCTCATCCTCAACAAAGGTACAGGACGTGACACGTATGCAGTCGTGTCTGTTGTTGTGGCGATGGCTCGTATGGGGGCGTGGTGTTGTTGTCTTGACCTGCTCAACAACTCTCACGAAATTCCAATGACCGCACACACACACACACACACACACACACACACACACACACACACACACACACACACACACACACACACACACACACACACACACACACACACACCACGCGCAACTGCCCCAGCTGTGCTCCAAGGCTGGATCGCGCAGGTGAAGGCGTTGATGCGAGTGGCGAGCGACGTGCTGGTGAACCTTCGTGACCGAAGAGACGACCACGCCCTTGCCCACACCAGCGCCACCCTCCTCCTCACATGCCTCGACCACGAGCGATGGAAGCTGCCTATGGGTACTGTGCTTACTTCTGTACTGCGCTTTGCATGTTCATGTGTGTGTATGTGCGTTCGTGTGTTTGTGTATGTGCGTATGTGCGTACATGCATGTGTAGGAGGTTTGCCTTCTGTTGCGACTGCGTTCCTGTTGTTGCTGTACTCTGATTGCCACATCTTTTCCTTCCCGACACTCTTTCACTCACACACACACACGCACACACACACACGCACACACACACACACACTCACTCACACACACACACACACTCACTCACTCACTCACACACACGCACACACTCACACACGCATGCGCCCCCGCCTCGGAACACCTTTAGACCCCGCCAAGGCGGCCGTGTTCCGAGTCATTGCCGGCTCTTTCCTGACCACGCTCGACAAGCCACACGTCTTTGCCGCCCTCAAGGTGGCAATGCTTCGCCCAACACCAGCTACCGTCATGCCTTCACCTCCAACAACTCTGCACGTGCCCCCCTCCCCGCCACAACTTACCACTCCCTCTCACTCACTCACTCACTCACTCACTCACTCACTCACTCACTCACTCACTCACTCACTCACTCACTCACTCACTCCCTCACACACACACACACTCACTGACACACACACACACACACACACACACACACACACACACACCACATGTCCTCTTTTCATTGCAGGGGTATCTGGACATGTGCTTGGCTGCGCCAAAGTCGCGGTGTCAGCCGCCAACAATGGCCGTCATTGTTGCTCTCCTCAACAGGCTCCTCTCCTCCACCAAGGACAAAGACGCCACCCTCAACGCATTCTGCCTATCCATGATGCAAGTGCCCACGGTCATGGCCGAAATCAAACTCTCCACCTTCACTGCAAAGGAAGACGTCCTCCAATACGCCATCCATCACACACAGGTGCGTGTGTGTGTGCGTGTGTGTGTGTGTGTGTGTGTGTGTGTGTGTGTGTGTGTGTGTGTGTGTGTGTGTTGGGGGAGCGGGGTCTGCCTGTCTGTCAGCACAAATATGGCTCTTGGTTTGCATCGCTGTGCCTGCTCTTTTCCTCTTGAATGCATATGCACACATCGACTGAAGCACACTCGCTACTACCACCCCCTCAATCTCAACTCCTCCCTTCCCTTCCCTACTCACACCACACCCCCATCAACCCGAACCCTGTCACCCCCTCCCTGTCGCCGCTGCTTTCATACAATAGGCGCTTGTGGGCGCACTCTCTGATGACGGCAATGCAGCCCTGTTCTTTCTCGGAAACACATGCTCGCTCTTCGACGCACAGACCACAATCAAGGTGAGGGGATGGTCACAAACAGCCATCTGAAGTGTGAATGCACGAAGACATAACCACGCCCTCCCATGCATACCTGCATGTATGTATCTGTCTCCCGCTCGCCCTTCTCTCGTCCTCCCTCCTCGCCGTTCGCGTCCACTCACCCCCCCCCAACCACCACCACCACCACCACCACAACAACAACAGCACACAGATGTGCAGGACTTGATGTCGGCGTGTGTGGAGTGCTGTCTCAACTTCACTCGGAAACACCAAACCAGGTCTGCCAAATCCACGAAATCCTCCTCCACCTCCTCCGAGCACCCTCTGCTCGGGTGGTACCGTGGCCACACCGCTCGCGGACACCTCGACGCAATGCCGCGCGTGCTGGGCCAGCTGCGCTCGCTCTGGTCCCCGCTCGCTGTGCGCACGCGATTTGAGGACGTGTGGACGGAGACGGAGCGGCTGCGGGGGCACAACCCGAAGGACGGTGGGCTGCAGACCCTCGGCAAGTTAACACACCAGCAGCCACCATCGTCATCATCATCACCATCATCATCGTCAGCGTCGTCATCGTCGTCGGCAAAGCCCTCGTTGGCCTCATCCGCAACATCCCCAAGACCAACAGCAGCCAACGCTACAACCACCGCATCTGCACCAACGCCAGCATCATCCTCATCCTCGTTATCCTCATCGTGGTGGGCGCCATCTGCGTTGCGACTGCGCCAAATCTTCCAAATGACATCGTCGTCACACCGGTTTGTGGATAAGGCGGCGAGTGAGCGCGTGGCGCGGGCGTGTGCGTTCTACCAGTCCCTGTACACGACCATCAAAGTGGCAAACCAGGAGGTGCTGGGCGCCATCGCCTTCAACCTTGACCTTGTGCCGCGCCTGTGGACCTTCATGCACCACATTGGGCCCAAGGGAAACATGGCCGTGTTCATGGC